GAGTAGCTGGGACTACAGGCGCATGCCACTTTGCCCTGCTAATTTTTTGTATTTTTAGTAGAGACGAGGTTTCACTGTGTTAGCCAGGATGGTCTCCATCTCCTGACCTCGTGATCTGCCCTCCTCGGCCTCCCAAAGTTCTGGGATTATAGGCATGAGCCCCCTTACCCTGCCCAAAGTCTGCTTTTTGTGCCTTGTAATTTTTTTGTTGAAAACCAGACTTGATGTACTTGTTAAAAGGAATTGAGGAGGCCAGGCACGGTGGCTCACAGCTGTAATCCCAGCACTTTGGGAGGCCAAGTGGGGAGGATCACTTGAGCCCAGGAATTCAAGACCAGCCTGGGCAACATAGAGACCCCATCTCTACTAAAAATACAAAAACTAGCCGGGCATGGTGGCACCCACCTGTAATTCCAGCTACTCTGGAGGCTGAGGCACGATAATTGCTTGAACCTGGGAGGCAGAGGTTGCAGTGAGTCGAGATCTCACCGCTGCACTCCAGCCTGGGAGACAGAGTGAGACTCTGTTTAAAAAAAAAAAAAAAAGTAACTGAGGAAAATAGCCCTTGAGTGTGAGTATTTTAGTTTATCTGGCTAAGAGTTAGGCTCTGTCTACTGTTGGCTGTAAGTATAGGTATCAGAAGTAAAATTTCCTCCTATGTCTGTTTTTTTCTTCCTTGGGTTTCCCTAGAGACTTGTTAAATAAAGTCTGAGATACGCAGGTTTTTCTGTTCTTTTCCCCTGTTATTATATAGGAGCCCTAAGTATGTGGTAGGAAGGAGGGAATTAAGTCCTGTGACTAGGTCTCGATCTTTCTGTGAGCCTGTGCCCCTGGCATGTGACTTTCACCAGCACTTCTCACTTAGGATTTTTGTCCGCTTTGGTGAAACAGGAAGGAAGAGGGGGCTGGAGTTAGGCCTTTTCTTTCCTGCCTGTAGAAGGCTTCAGGGTGCTTAAGTTGGGTCAGCCTTTCCCTTAGTCTGATTAGGGTCTTGTAAAACCCGATTAGGTTGGGCTCCTATAAAATAGTCTCCCCTGTAAGAACAGAAAGCTCTGAACATATTCCACATGGCTGCTTTCCTCTTACCCCTGCCAGAAGCATGAGGGGATTTTTTATTTTTATTTTTTAATTTTGAGATGGAGTCTTACTCTGTTGCCCAGGCTGGAGTTCAGTGGCACAATCTTGGCTCACTGCAACCTCTGCTGCCCGGGTTTAAGCAATTCTTCTGCCTCAGCCTCCTGAGTAGCTGGGATTATAGGTGCATGCCACCACACCTGGCTAATTTTTAGTAGAGACCTGGTTTTACCATCTTGGCCAATAGAGACGGGGTTCAAGATCTTGATCCACCCACCTCAGCCTCTGAAAGTGCTGGTATTACAGGCATGAGCCACCATGCCCAACCCACATGAGGGGATTTTTTCTCTGGTCTTAAGTGTGAGAACCTGGTAGGGCTCATGGAGGTCAAGTCCACATTGAGTCTCCAGCAGTTCATGAATTGCTGTGTAAGTTTTCCCACCCTCGTTTCTGTTCCTGGGCTTCTGCTCATGTAGGCTCCACTTCACTGTGTTGACCTGTCTCAGTGTAAGGGGCAGTCATTTGCCCTGTAACTTCAATTCTCTGATGCATCTAAAAGGCGTTGTTTTCCAGTTCAGTTTTTTTCTTGTAAGGACGGTAGTGACAACTTGTAAGCTCCTTACATTTGTGACCAAGGAAGAAAAGTCCTTTGCCTTCGTTTTTAAATATATTTGGTGGATAAAGATAATTTTCCAGTTAAAAAAACAAGAAAATAAAAATAATTCCAGTTGACAGGATTTTGTGGGTTTTGTTTTTTTTTCCCCAATACCTTAAGAATGTTACTTCTGGGGGCCGGGCGCAGTGGCTTACGCCTGTAATCCCAGCACTTTGGGAGGCCGAGGCAGGTGGATCACGAGGTCAAGAGATCGAGGCCATCCTGGTCAACATGGTGAAACCCCGTCTGTACTAAAAATACAAAAAATTAGCTGGGCATGGTGGCACGTGCCTGTAATCCCAGCTACTCAGGAGGCTGAGGCAGGTGAATTGTCTGAACCCAGGAGGCAGAGGTTGCGGTGAGCCGAGATCACGCCGTTGCACTCCAGCCTGGATAACAAGAGCAAAACTGTGTCAAAAAAAAAAAAGAGTGTTACTTCTGGCGAGGCATGGTGGCTCACGCCTATAATCCCAGCATTTTGGGAGGCCTAGGAGGGCGGATCACAAAGTCAGGAGATCGAGACCATCCTGGCCAACATGGTGAAACCCGTCTCAAAAAATACAAAAATAGCCAGGCATTGTGGCCCACGCCTGTAGTCCCAGTTACTCAGGAGGCTGAGGCAGGAGAATTGCTTGAACCTGGGAGGCAGAGGTTGCGGTGAGCCAAGATTGCACCATTGCACTCCAGCCTGGGTGACAAGAGTGAGACTCCCACTCAAAAAAAAAAAAAAAAAAAAAGTTACTTCTTTGTCTTCTGGCTTGCAGCAGAAGTATCATGTCATTCTTAACTGTATTTATCAGTATATAATATACTTTTCAGGTTAACTGCTTTTAAGACTTTAAATTTAACACTGGTTTTCTACAACTTGATTATGATGTGTCTTGGTACAGCTTTCTTGAGGCTTCTTGACCTTCTTGGATGTGTGAGTTTATAGTTTTGATCATATTTGGTAAATTTTGCTTATTTCTTCAAATACGGTTTCTGTCGCCTCTTTTTTTTTCTAGGACTTTCAATTATGTGCACATTAGACAGGTTGATCGTGTGCAACAGTTTTTTTCTCTTTGCCTTATTTGAGTAGTTTCAATTGCTATGTCTTTAAATTCATGAGTCTTTTCTCTTTCAGTGTTTATTTGATGTTAATTCCATCCAGTGCATTTTTTTCATTTCAGATATTGTGTTTACTGTCTCTGGAACTTCCATTTGGATCTTTCTTTATCTTCCATTTTGTCATCATGCTCATGTTTCCCTTTACCTTCTTAAATACATGATGCTTATTTTTATTAACTATTGTCTGCTAGTTCCTTGAACAGCAGAAATCTGTCATTTCTAGGTCAGTTTCTATTGACTGTTTATGGTTAGAGGTCGTATCTTCCTCTCTTTCTTGCATGTCTGTTGCAGCAGTTTATTATTGCCTCTCAACTCTAAATCAGCCCTTCATTGGCCCTTGTGATACTGGAACATTTCTCCTTTGCCCCATGCTAGTCTTTGTCAGTGAAAAGTGTTGAGGAGAAAGGGCATTTCTTTGTTCTGTGCATTTTGCTTACACCTGTCTGTGACTTGAACTGGCATGTGGGACACATAGGGTGCTCAGGCAGCTTTCAGGCAGGTCCCATAGCACCCCAGCTAGCCTCCTGGGAGCTTTCTGGTGAGTTCAACAGCACCCCACCCCTACACCCCTGCTTTCCAGCACTTCTCAAACAGCCTTCTAGCTCACTGTGTTAGCACCCTTGCAAGTGGTTCCTGGGCTCTGGCCTTGTCCTGGGACAGCCCAGTGAACTTCATCTATTGGGTAGTTGTGACCATACCCTCTCCTCGGTCTGAATCCTTCCCTTAGTTACCTCCCTTTACCCTAGGGTGTTCTGTAGATTTCTCTTTATTCCCTCTTAGTTAACTCCCTGTAAATAGTTAATAATTCTTACACTAAACTTCCCTTGTTTAAGGAACCATGTGGTTTCTGTCTCCTGGCTGGACTCTGACTGATAGACCTGGTGATTTTTTAAATTAGATGCTGAATATTGTGAGTTTTAAATTGTTGGCTGGGCTGGGTGTGGTGACTCACACCTGTAATCCCAGCCCTTTGGGAGGCTGAGGAAGGTGGATCACTTGAGCTTAGGAGTTCAAGACAGCCTGGGCAAGTAGTGAGATCCCATCTCTACAAAAAATAAATTGTTGACTGCTGAATTTTGTTGAATTCCTTTGAATAGTATTGGGTTTGGGTGTAGAATGCAGTTAAGTCTCTTGAAAGCAGCAATCCTTTAGAGGCTTCTAAGTTTAGTTCAGTGGGTCCAGTGCTGCTTTAGTCTGCAGTTGATTTAGCTCAGTTACTAAGGGTGATGCCCTTCTGCGGATTCTATACAGTACCCTGTGAATTAAGAGATCTCTCCAGAATGGCTTGTGGGAACACAAATACTCCCTGCGTGAACTCTGGGGATTGTTTTGTTTGCTCCTTAGGATTCTTTCCTGGGCCTCCTTGTACAGTTTTTCTCACTCAGGCACAGATCTGTTTTCAGCTAAAGACTCCAGGGGACCCTCTGCAGATCCTGGCTCTGCCTCTTTGTGCGGCTGCCTCCTCCCAGGACTCTGCCCTGCAAATAGCAGCCGCCTTGGCCTCCGTGACCTGTAAACTCCATCTTCCCAACTCAGAGAGACTGCAGGATACGGCTGAGTTTCCCCTCCCTGTGCTGCAGCCTGGAACCTGTCTCCTGGCTGTAACTGGTGCAGTCATAGGACCCGCTCTCTGGTTTTCCTTCTCTCGGGGGTCACTGTCCTGCACTGTTTTCCACTGACTGAAGATAAAAGTATTTTGTCCAGTTTTCCAGGTGTTCACGGGTCCCTGTTGCTCCATCCTACATGGGTATATAAACGGAGAACCAACAAAACAGCCTGTCAGGAGCTTGCTGAAGTTTCAGCATAGGTGGTGCCTGCTGGCTAAGCTGATGGGCATGATTAACACTCTCCTTTACCTTCTTACAGTAACCACCATGTGAATGGGAATGGCAAGACAGCAAAGGCTCGCTCAGTGAGCGACGCAACACCAGCGTGGGTTGCGGTCTCCCCATCAAGTTGCATGTCACTAGATTTCTGTGGCTGTCACTGCTGGGCCCAGGTGCCTCTGAAGATCAGCACCTCCTCATGGGCTCAAGCAAGGACAGGAGCCATTCACCCATGAGCTCGAAAGAACAGAGCCCCTGTCCTGCCTCGATGGCTCCACCGTGTCTCCAGAGGACTTTGGACAATGGGGAGCTGGCCCAGTAAGGCCACCCGTGTGTGGTCACTTGGCTTTTTTTTCACCCAGCCCCCAGGTACTGTTGCTGCTCCTGTCTGAGGCCCCATCCACAGCCACAGCTGTGGCGGGGTGGCTGGTGGTGGCCAGTGTGGCCCTGCTGCAGCTCCATGCTGGGGAGGGGTGTGGCCCAAAAAGCAACTACCCCTTCCTGTGGGCCAGTGGGGAGGATCCTAGGAAGCAGCCCTGGCAAGGTGAGTGGACGTGTTGATGTGGTGAGAGGTGAGAAGCAGTACTGCTCCCAGAGCCCTGTGATTCCTGGGGGGATGAGGCTGGCAGATGCCTTGCCTGCTCTCCTGGGTGCTTTCCTGTTCCCAGGGCTGGGACCTTGGAGGGAGTCTGTGTCTGCCCATGTTCGAGGGCCCAGCATAGGCAGGCCCTCTGGGGAGCCCTTCGTGGCTTGTGGGGATTCTGGGGCAGGGCAAGGGACAGCATCTTCCACCCACCACAGGCTTTGGGAGGCGTCTGTCCTGAAGGCCACCCCTGTGGGAAGGCCTCTTTCGTGTGACTCCTTCCCCATGAAACGGCTTCTCCATACTGTTCAGCCCCACAGGTGCCCTGAGAAAACACAATGTGCTTTCTCACACATCACAGCCCCCAGAGAAGAGTTTGGTTACAGAGAATCTGACAGTTCATGGCCTCCTGAGGGTGGGTCAGTGGGAAAAGTCCCCAGGGGAGCTTGGGGCCCAAGGCCTCCCACGGCCCGGGTGTGGCTGCCCACTGGGAGGCCCACATTGCCTCAGTGTCCTGCGTTCGGGGTGCCTGAGGGCTGGAAGGGGAGCAAGGGCCGGGGACCAGCGGCTCACAGGGACCTGGGGAGATGGGGAGAACTGTGGAAGCAGCCTTCCCAGCCATCCCACCCAGGGAAGGAGTGGCCAGGGTTGGAAGAAATACAGCACTACCTTGGCCTTGGTCTTGGCCTCAGACCCGAGGGTCTGGCTATAGCTGTGGTGGCAGCTATGTCGTGGGGGCCGCATCATGGCCCTGGCATTGGCCCCAGGACTGTGGGCCAGCACAGACCATCACGAAGTTTCTGCTGGGCTCGGTGTGGGAGCCCCTCCTAGCCATGGAGACAGGCCACGTCAGCCCCCCAGGATCTGTTGCCCGACAGCTCTCAGTCTTTTGCCTGGGGCCTCTGTGTCACGTGGAATCATTCTGAGTTCTCTGCTTTCTGGCGGCGATATCTTCTAAGCACTGCTTACTCCGCAGACCGTCCTGCCCTCCTGTTAGAAGCCATCCGTGGGCACTCCAGTGTCACCTGTGGTAACTCCTGCATTTTGCCAGGCTATGGGATGTGGAGACTGAAGAGTCCAACTTGGCCAGAAGCCTGACCCTCACTCATTCCTCAGAGAGGCCTCACATTGAGCAGGGACAGCCAGCAGCTGGAGAGAGTGGAGCCCTGACACTGGCTGCAGAACAGAGGTGCTCTCTGACACCCCTTTCATCCAGCATGTTCTCCGTGAGCACCTGCCGTGCCCGGGCCTCACTCTGTGCTGCCGGCTGAGCCCAGCTCTTGTGGGCTTGCGTGAGGCTGACTGCCGTGTGAGCTGCATGTGATCTTCAGTGAGGAGTAGACACGCAGGGCGGAGGTTGGGGGGTAGGACGGCATGTGCTCGCAGACACTGGATGATACGAAAGAGGCTCTAGCGAAGGAAAGGACAAGCCGCGGAGGAAGCAGAGCGCTGAAGGGAGGGACAGTGCGATGGCCTGAAACTGTCAACCTGAAACAAGCAGTAGAGTCTGCAAATGAGCCCCAGGGCTAGCCCTGGGGAGGAAGCAGCAGTGACGTGAGGGTCTTGTCAGAAGCCTCTAGGGGCAGGGTAGGGCCTGTACTGAGGACAGACACGCCCATGGTCTTTGAGGAGCTGTAGGGTGAGCTTCTGGTGGAAGCAGTTTCCATGTCCTGGCACGTGCTGTCTCGTTAGGACATCAGACATGACCCTGGAGTTCACATGAGGATGCAGAGGTCTTCCGTTCCAGAGGACACTTGGCTGGGCAGAGGGACACGGCCTTGCGTCCCTGGTGCGCTCTTGTTGTCTGGCACACCACTGAATGGGACATCTGTGGCTGGGAGATGTCCTTGTGGCCTGTGCTAGTTAGACCAGCCTGGCTGGTTATCAGTCTACATCCTCACCCACTCCCCTTTTCAGTGAGTTATTCCCGGTCCCACAGGCTCTGCCTCTGGTGTGGAAGAGGCGTACCCGCCAAGGACCAGAGGAGCTGGCCACCGTTCAGAAGGCCCCAGCTCGAAGGCCAGTAGACCCGCCCGGAAGCTCCACGCAGGCAAGCTTGCAGAGGTGAGTCCCACTTCCTGTTCCTGCTCGGGCGCTTCTCCCTAGGGCAGGATGCTGAGAAGCTGGCCAGGGGTGGCTGCTGAGTGGCAGAGAAGCCAGAGAGCTGCAGGAAATAGCCTGGGGCTGGGAGACCAAGATGGGGGCTCTGGGCTGCTGAGGCGCTGGACCTGAGGGGCCAAGACCCTTGAGCAAGAGGAGCCAGAGAAGAGAGACATTCAGTACTGGTCTCTCTCTCTCGCCATTTGCTGATGAAGCTGCTTAAGGCAGAGGAGCAGAAAGTGGCTGAAAAGCAGAGCAGGATTTTTGGCAGTTTTATGGAGTTAGGGAATAGTGTGGGGCCTATCAGGTGGAAGGGCCCTAAGAAATATCTCAGGCTCAGGCCGGGTGTGGTGGCTCAAACTTGTAATCCCCACACTTTGGGAGGCCAAGAGGGGCTGATCACAAGGTTGGGAGATCGAGACCATCCTGGCTAACATGGTGGAACCTCCACTAAAATACAAAAAAATTAGCCAGGCGTGGTGGCACGTGCCTGTAATCCCAGCTACTCAGGAGACTGCACCGGGACACTTGCTTGAACCCAGGAGGGTGAGGTTGCAGTGAGCCAAGATTGTGCCACTGCACTCCAGCCTGGGCAACAGAGTGACTCCATCTCAAAAAAAAAAAAAAAAAAAAAAAAAAGAACGAAAAGAAATATCCCAGGCTGTCATCTGGGACCAACCCTGTCTCACCTGGGACAAGCCACAGGCGGGCTGGTCTTTACAAGGACTGCAGAGGAGCTCAGGGTCAGTGGAGTCCCTGATCCGCCTGTGGCCGCTTGTCCACTGATGTCCACCATGGAGCAGGTGAGCTGTCCCTGTCAGGGGACACGTCCAGACCCCCCGCGACGCTCAGTTGAAGGCAACCAGGTACGCTGGGAAAGGGGATGACTTGAGAGCAGGGGTTTGAGTGTGAGGCAGGAGAATCGCTTGAGCCCACAAGGCAGAGGCTGCAGTGAGCTGGGACTGCATTCCTTCACTCCAGCCTGGGCAACAGGTGAGACTGGCTCTCAAAAAAATGAAATAAAGATTTTTAAAAATTAGCTGTGTATGGTGGTACATATCTGTGGTCCCAGCTACTTGAGAGACTGAGGAGGGAGGACTGTTAGTGTCTAGGAGGTAGCGGCTGCAGTGAGCTATGAGTGCACCACTGCCCTCCAAACTGGGCCGCAGAATGAGACCCCATCTCAAGAAAAAAAGAAAAAAAATTACAAATCCAGTAGGTGTATTAACCAGCAGATTAGAGTCAGCTGAAAAAAGGATAGTGCTCTAGAAGCAAGGTCAACAGAAAACACCTTGTTCAGGCTGGCACCGTGGCCACTCCTGCAGCCACAGCACTTCGGGAGGCTAAGGTAGGCAGATCAGTTGAGCTCAGGCATTCAAGACCAGCCAGGGCAACATGGCAAAACCCCATCTCTACAAAAAAATTTAAAAATGAGCCAGGCCTAGTGGTGCATGCCTGTGGTTCCAGCTTCTTGGGAGGCTACAGTGAGCTGAGACTGTGCCACAGCACTCCAGCCTGGGCAGCAGAGTGAGAGACCCTGTCTCATTTCCTTAAAAATGGAAAAAAAAAAAAAAAAAGAATTTAAAAAGGAAATGCCTTGCAGATACCACCACAAGCAGCTCACTTTATGCTGTCTGTCCTTTTCCTGGTCTCTCAGGGTGCCCTCCCTGTCTTTTCTGTGGCCCCCCCCCCAGCCTTGGACAGGGAGGTGGCCTGGCTGAGAAGGCCTTTGTACTTGGGAGAGACCGAGGTGGCTTTGGAATTGGGGAGTCACTTTTCATTGCGACCCTGTTGGAAACATCAGCGTGCTGGATTAGCCTTGTGGCTTTGTTTCGATCCTCACTGGGAACCTGAGTTCTCATTGTCCTCAGGGACCCAGGCTGCGGGTGTGCTAAGCTTCCCAGGCAGCTGAGAAAGCGGCTTTTGGGACAAACTTATTTTCATTTGCATCTCTCCTAAAAGCAGAGTGCACAAAAGCAGCAGCACTGGGAGTGTGTGGGGAGGGACAGGCAGCCAGCGGAGGCTGAGCCAGGATGCCATGGTTCAGGCCCACACCTCATGCAGGCGAGTGCCAACCTTCCGTAGCAGGCTGGGGTGGGGAAGGGGTGGTCTGCTGCAGAGCGTGACTGTGCAGCTGTTGCGAATCTTTGCAATTCAGATGTGTAGTGTTCTGAGAAATTTCCCATCCTGGTTATTGCTTTCTTTATAATGAAGAGAAATAAATTCATGAGTGATGGTGTGCCCGGGCTAGGGCATAGGGCAAGGGCAGTGCACTGGGCTGTGGTGACTGCGTCCTCCTCAGGTGTGGGGCAGGGGCTACAGCATTGTCATGGCAAAGACACTGGCATTTTTACCTGAGCACAGGATAGTAACCCTTTTTGGATTTTCTGTTTGTTTTGAGATGGAGTCTTGCTCTGTTGCCAGGCTGGAGTACAGTGGCGAGATCTCGGCTCACCACAACCTCCGCCTCCTGGGTTCAAGCAATTCTCCTGCCTTGGCCTCCTGAGTAGCTGGGACTACAGGTGTCTACCACCACCCCCAGCTGATATCTGTATTTTTAGTAGAGAAGGGGTTTCACTGTGTTAACCAGGCTGGTCTTGATCTCTTTACCTCGTGATCCACCTGCCTCACCCTCACAAAATGCTAAAATTACAGGCATGAGCCACCACGCCTGGCTGGTAGTAGCTCTTTATCCTCTAAGATGCTTTGTCCCTGGGGCCAGCAAACACCTCCCAAGGGAGAATAGAGCAGGAACCCCAGATTTGCCAGCCGAGGGCAGGTAGGCCTTGTGGGGCCGTGGAAGCCACTGCACTGCTGGGAGGTTCCAGTCAGCTGAAGCCCGGTGTCCAAGCACCACCTGGACGCCCTGCAGTGTCCACTTGCTGGGTTCTCAAGAGTTTTCTCTGGGGGGCCTGTTGGGGTGGGGCACTCTTGCCTGGCCTGGAGCTGCTAGATGGGAGGTGGGTTTGTGGCTCAGCTGTGTCCAGCGGTGGCTGGCTGTGGAGCGTCTCCTCTGCTTCAGTAATACTTTAATGGGCGAGAAAGACCACTGTTTTCTGGGCTACGCTTCCTGGAGCTTGTGTTCCTGGAAGCCAGCCATAAACAAGCTGGCCATAAATGAGGGTAAACAGGTACCTGAGTAAACACACCAGAGCAAATCAGCCGCATAGGCCCAGCAGAGATGAACCTGCGGCCATGGTGGCTATAGGGGTTGAGTGGGGAGAGGATGTCCTCTGAAGAGGTGACATTTAAGCTGAAACTGGAATGACAAGAAGGCCCGAGGTCTCCAGGCAGAGCGGAAAGCTCAGGGATCAGAATCCAGTAGGTCACAGTAAGCATTGGGTTTCGCGTTAGGGACAATGAGAAACTGATGACGGATTTTAAGTAGGGGAATAATGAGATCTAATTACATATTTGCAAGATATTCCGGGAGCTGTAAGGACAGCTGGGACAGGTACCTGGAAGCAGGGTGGCTACAGGGAGAGGCAGTGGTGACAGGGCTGGTGTGGAGGCTGCAGGATCTGGAGGGCGTGCAGGATCTGGAGGGCGTGTAGGCTCAGGGTGCATGGGGGGTGGGGCTGGGGGTGGAGCCCAGAATGATCTCAGGTATTCTAGCACCTGGATGGTGGTGGGGCCACAGACATGAGCAGGGAAGGCCTCATGCCCATCAGACCTGTCTGAGGGGAGACGTCCCATCCACGACAAAGCCCCTGCTTCAGAGGACAGCAGGGGAGTGTTTGCTGAGCAGGCATAAGCAGAGGGTCTTTCTAAGATGCAGATCTGGGCATTTTAATTTTTTTGCGTGTGGTTTCATCTTACCATTAACTTTTACCTTATTTTGGATGTTGCATCATATTCAGCAGGATTGCTTAAAAATCTTTTGATTTATAGAATTTTAAGAAACTAATCATGGGATTCTTTTTTCTTTTTTGAGAACAAGTCTCCCTCTGTCATCCAGGCTGGAGTGCAGTGGCTTGATCTCTGCTCACTGCAACCTCCACCTTGGGTTCAAGAGAGTCTCCTGCCTCAGCTTCCCGAGTAGCTGGAACTACATGGCTAAGTTTTTGTATTTTTAGTAGAGATGGGGTTTCACTGTGCTAGGTCTCAATCTGCTGACCTCCTGATCTGCCCACCTCGGCCTCCAAAAGTGCTGGGATTACAGGCATGAGCCACCGCGCCCGGCCTTTTTTCTTCTTTCTGTGATAAGGTCTTGCTCTGTCATCCAGGCTGGAGTGCAGTGGTGCAATCATGGCCCATTACAGCTTTGGCCTTCCAGGCTCAAGCAGTCCTCCTGCCTCAGCCTCCCAAGTAGCTGGGACCAGAGATATGTGCCTCTATGCCTGGCTAATTTTTAAATTTTTTGTTGAGACAATTTCTTGCCATGTTACCTATACTGGTTTTAAACTACTGGGCTCAAGCAGTCCTCCCACTATGGCCTCCCAAAGTGCTGGAATTACAGGCATGAGGCACCATACTCAGCCAGAAAATTTCAGCATATTCAAAAGTAGAGACTAATATTAAAAACCTTCATGTACTCAATACCCAGCCTCAGGGTAATTTTGAAGCAAATCCCAGGTACCAGACCACTTCGTCTTTCAGTATTTTATTAATAGTACGTGACTCTGAAATACAAGGCCAGGTGCTATAGCTCACACCTGTAATCCCAACATTTTGGGAAACCAAGGCAGGAGGATCACTGGAGCCCAGGAGTTTGAGACCAGCCTGGGCAACATAGTGAGACCCCCACCCCATCAAAAAAAAATATTTTTTTTAATTAGCCAGGTGTGGTGGCTCACACCTGTAATCCTAGCACTTTGGGAGGCTGAGGTGGGCGGATCATTGGAGGCCAGAATTTCAAGACCGCCCTGGCCAACATGATGAAACCCTATCTCTACAAAAAATACAAAAATTAGCCAGACACGGTGGTGCATGTCTGTAATCCCAGCTACTAGGGAGGCTGAGGCAGGAGAATTGCTCGAACCTGGGACGCGGAGGTTGCAGTTAGCCGAGATGGTGCCACTGCACTCCAGCATGGGTGGTAGAGCAAGAACCTGTTTCAAAAAAAAGAAAAAAAAATTAGCCAGGTGTGGTGGCACATGCCAGGAGGCTGAGGCAGGATGATCCCTTCAGCCCAGGCTTCAGTGCACTGCAATCGTGCCTGTGAAAAGCCACTGCACCCCAGCCTGGGCAACGTAGCAAGACCCTGTTTCTAAAACAGTTTTTTAAAAAAGAAAACGTAAGGACCAGTAAGAGTCCTTACAAACTTAAGAGTTTTAAGAACCTCTGTCCTTGTATAAAACGTCCCCAGCTGCTTCGTCAGTGTTTTAATTTCCCGGATTGCCTTTTACATGATTTGTTACATAAATGTCTGTTCGTATGAATAAAAGATTGGATGTTTTATAGGATCTAAATAAGGTCCACACATTTTATTGATCTATCTCGTTTTATTATTTATCATCCATCTCAAAATGTCAGTTTTTCTAAGCTGTGAGTTCTGCCTCTCTTCTTCTCATTTTGAACTCTATTGATGAGCATGTACTTTGCCCTGTACAGTTTTCCACAGTCTGGGTCATACCGTGTCCTCTTAGTGCTGTTGAACACGAGCCTCTGTCCTTTTGTCATTTAGATCTAGAGGCTTGATCAGATTCAAGATTGTTTTGGCAAGAACTCTTCTAAGTGCTGCTGTGTGGGGTCTTGATTAGAAGGGACAGAGCTGTCTTTTGTGATGTTAGCAGCCACTGACATCAAGGCTGAGATCGGGGACTGCAAAATGGTGAGTTTCAAAGGCTAGCATTCCTTCCTTGTGTAGTAGCTGGAATCCACCTGTTTAAAGACAGCCTTCTTGAACTCTGGGGTACTGGGCAGTACTCTTGCACAGGAAAGGCAGAACACTGCCTTGATCCTTTGACTTTATTTGCCTTTTTGCAGAGTAATGAGTTGACTCCCTAGCACCCCCCCAAGGTGGCTAATAATTATTTAATGCCAATGTGAACTCATGTTTTGAAATACAGTGATATGTTTAAGCCATTGCAGTTATTTTTGGTAGCAATTTGTTGAATCGAGAATTTCTTTTTTGATTTGTTTGTTTGAAGTGGAGTCTTGCTCTTTCACCCAAGCTGAAGTGCAGTAGCACAATCTTGACTCACTGCAACCTTGACCTCCTGGGTTCCAGTGATTCTCCTGCCTCAGCCTCCCGAGCAGCTGGGACTACAGGTGCGTGCCACCACACCTGGCTAATTTTTTGTATTTTTAGTAGAGACGGAGTTTTACCGTGTTAGCCAGAATGGTCTCAATCTCCTGACCTGGTGATCCGCCCATCTCGGCCTCCCAAAGTATTGGGATTACAGGCGTGAGCCATCGTGCCCGGCCTAGAATTGAGAATTTATTTGTGACAGAATATTGAAGCAGTAGTGAATGATGAAGGCTAGAAGTTAAATTCAGTAGAGGAGAAAATCTAATCTAGGCATACCCGTTATGTTAAATCAAAGTTTCACACTTTGGCAGTTCAGAGCACTCTTGATTAAGGTTCAACGATTATTTTAATACTAGGCCAAAAGAAATCCCTAACAGTGGTGCCGGATAGGAGACAGGTTGTTTTTATCTTGTTGCCTGGGTATTGTCCTGGGATTCTCTGTCCCATCTGAGTAAAGCGTTGTGGGATAAAGGAATTTCTTGGGGCCAGGAGCTTCTTAAGTTAAATCACTAGAAATTTAGGTATGATCTGGGCCTTCAAATGTGTGAGAAGCTGTATCCTTTTATTTCTCACTGCATTTTCCCCAACTTCTAGTTGATGAGAAACCATTCTTGAGGCCGGGTGTGGTGTCTCATGCCTGTAACCCCAGCACTTTGGGAGGCAAGGCAGGTGGATCACCTGAGCTCAGGAGTTTGAAACCAGCCTGGCCAACATAGTGAAACACTGTCTCTACTAAAAATACAAAAAATTAGCCAGGCATGGTGGTGCATGCCTGTAATCCCAGCTACTGTACTTGGGAGGCTGAGGCAGAATTACTTGAGCCTGGAAGGCAGAGGTTGCAGTGAGCTGAGATAGTGCCATTGCACTCCAGCCTGGGCAGCAAGAGTGAAACTCTGTCTCAAAAAAGAAAAAAATATTGAAGAGTTTTTATATGTGGGAACTAAGGTAGTATTGTAAAATTTCAAGTCATCCTTAAACAGAATGACCCACTTAGGAACTTGATCCGGTGAAGTGGCAAAATCAACTGGGGTTAGTTCCTTGAAGTTGTTTTTATTATGGTTTCCTTTGTGTGTGAGTTAATTCATTTATATTTACTATATCTCTTTTAAATTAGAAAGTATTTTTTATTATGTATGTCCTTTTAGATTTTACTTGTAGCTGATACTTTGAAATAATCACCCAGTTGTGTAGCATCATTTAAATCTGAGCATCTTAAACTTCAGTAGGAAACCATGAGTTATTAATACCTTTTCCATTCATATATCAATTTCGGAAGGAAACGTAAATGAATATTCTAAATAGGGCTCATTGGTATTAATCTCCCTTTTATGTTTGGGGGAAAAAAGGCTGAGACATTGCATGAAAGATGATGCAGGGTATACACTGATCTTTGCTGTTAAAAACGGGGCCAAAATAGTATTGGCTGTTTGAGCACTGTCCTGGTCTGTTGTTTTCTTCATCATTTATTTATAGTCAGTTTTTGAATTCCTGTAATATGAGACCTTTTTCTATCTTTTAACCTTTTGTTACCTGCATTTAATAAATCCAGATTATATGGTACTTCAACAAAAAAAAAATCCCTAACAGTTCCATTTATTAAATAAGTAAACTCAAATAAGTATTTGTGTCCTGGCAACTTATAGTGGATGTCTAGAAAATTAATGCATATAAAGAAAAATGTTCATCTTGCTTGTTTGTCCATGGGATGGGTGCCTGTCAAGCAGTTCTTCAGCTTGGAATCTGATGGAACACCGCCACCCTCATTGCCTCTTTTTCCATGTTGACCTTCACGGCAATTGCTTGTTGAGTAACTGCCACAACCCAGCTTTGCAGAGAGAGGATATCTTAGGAAGGAATAAAGCAAGGTAAGCTAGTGTTGAGACTGTAAACGGCCTTGAGCGCAGCAGAGTGTGACTGCTTCCCTCAACTAAGGGGACCTGAGGGTGCCTGTGGGTTCATGGGAGTGCCTCCGTGCAGTTGGGAACCCCAGCTCTGCCTCCTTCCCTGTCCCTCTTGATCAGTAGAAATCGCCTCTCCCTGGCCTGCACGTTGCTGGGTGGCACAGCACGGCCTGTGGGGGCACAAAGCCCTAAGTGGCCTGTGCCACTGCCACAGGTGTTCCTTTGAGGCCATTTGTTTCCAGCCATGGCGCTTATAGGATTTTTCCTTTATCATTTGATTTCAGCCACATCAGAGCGTGTGACCTGGCTCAGATGTCAATATAACTGTTATGTGTTCTTTTCTCTTCCTGTGTCTGTGACAGATTAATTTAACGCAAGAATGCTGCAGATCCTCAGGGTTGGTGTAAAAATAGCTCATCCTGATGTGAGAAAGCAGTCAGCTTTTCTTGTTGCCATTGGCTGCCAGCACCCATTCTTTGTGGATGTGAAAATGCCACAGGTGCTGCACTTACTCCTCGGGCATTCGGCAGCACCCATGCCTGTCTCCAGAGTGGGGCCCAGGGTGGAAGGCGTGTACCCCACTCTGTCCCCTGATGTGGAGCTTGGCCCTGCAGCTCAACAGCACCCATGGAATGTGGACAGAAGTGACAGCAGCCAGCTCTGCCTCTTCACTGAGGCGGCACATGTTCTGCATGTGCCCTGGGAGCCTCCACCTTCCACACTGTGGGAAGAGGGTGCCCAGGGAGCTGCAGTCCCTCCACCCTAGCCCAGGACAAGGCTCGGGAGCAGAGCCATCCCCCCCGACCTGCACCTCACAGCCCTGCAGGTGTGAGGGAAGTGCGTGTTGTACACACTGAGTTTTCAGGTGGCTGTGACATGGCAGCATTGCCTGACACGGACAGAAAAGAGATCCACCAGGGAGAAGTGAGAGTCTGGAGACCCCGCATCGGAGAGGCCACAGGCTGCAGGGGCAGGATGGCTTCTTAGAAGGTGAAATGATTCTTTTGGAAATAACGTCATCCCATCTAACAGAGGAAGACATGGAGCCTCCAGATGGTTGAAGGCCCAGCAGTGATCCCAGACAGGCCGCATGTCAGACCAGGCTCCTTCAGGGTTGTGCTGCCCTCGCCAGAGCCCGTCCTGAGGGCAGCCACACGGTAGGCAGCACTCGCCATTTGTTCAAGCGAGGCCCAAATTCCAGCCTGCCTTCTGGCAGGTAGAGGAAGCAGGGGCACCATGCTTCAGAGGTCCTGAAAGCAGATGGGGAAGCATTTGGTCAAGAGCCAGGAGGGGATGACAGACCAAAGGGGAGCCCTTGTCCCATGTTCTGAAGGCCGGGGGGCTGGACACTTGCTCGGTGAGCTATAATTGGTGTCCCTGTGCCCCACCGGAAGGTACACCAGGTGTCATCTTTGGTGGAGAACAGTGGCTGCCCTGGAGCCTTGCCCCCTTCCCCGTCGTGGGTCACTGTCACGTGTGTGTCCAGGAAAGAAAAACACCAAAGGCAGAAGACCAGTCATTCCCTAGGCCAAATACTCCGTGGCCTTGCTTAGAGACTGGATTTTGATATGCTGGAGGCTGTCCTAGACTCAGAGATTGGAAACAGGAAAGAACCATCATTGAAACCTTTGGGAAAGCCTGCAGCGGGGCATCTGGTGGCCTGAGGAGTGGCGGTGTTTCCATCTGGTAGACACCGTCTCATGGGGAGGGACGGAGGAGCGCATGAGCCTGCCAGCCAGAGGTGTCTGTCAGCGTCTTATGAAATGGGCTCCAGTCGTGAAGCTGGTTTACCTTCCTATTTTTAGTCCCCGCTGGTCCTGCCTTCTCCTTCATGGCCAGTAGGCCAGACCCAGCACTTTCCTGACTTTCGACCTTGGCCCCTGCTGACACTCGCCCTTGAGGCCTCCTGCAGACGCCATTTGTATTCATTTCCTGCAGTTCTCATACCTGGATCCTACCTGGGCTTCTCCAAGGCCTTCCAGGCCCTCATCCCCCAGCGGGGACTACAGACTCCTACATGCAGGGCTGTCCTTGGGAGGGCCAGCGCAGCCCCTTCCAAGTGGGCAAGACCCAGGGATGGCTGAAAAGAGCTGTGCCCTAGCCCCGGACCTCTGAATGTTGATTCATGTAGCAGAGGACTTGCAGATGTGAGTAAAGGCTGGTGAGATAAGACCATCATCCCCGCTATCTGGGAGGCCCCTAAATGCAGGCACACACATCTTCTGAAGAGGAGGCAGAGGTGGGTGACACAGCCACAACCAAGGAAGACCAAGGATTGCTGGTAGCCCACAGAAACTGGAGGGCAAGGAGGGTCCCTCCAGAACGTGCAGGAAGTAGACCAAGGTCCTGCTGTCATCCTGACTTCAGACGTCCAGTCTCCAGAACTGAGAGAAGATCCATTTCTATTATTGTTAAGCAACCAAACTTGTAGTTACAGCAGCCTCAGGAAATGAATACAAATGGGAACTCAAAGATTCAGAGAAATGAGTGGGTGCAGTGGACCACGACTGTAACCCCAGCATTTGTGTGAGGATTGCTTGAGGTCAGAAGTTGGAGACCTTGTCTCCATGAAAAACTTAAAATATACGCCAGGCATGGTGGCTCACACCTGTAATCCTAGCACTTTGGAGGCCAAGGTGGGCGGATCACTAGATCAGGAGTTTGAGACCAGCCTGACCAATATGGTGAAACCCCATCTGTACTAAAAATACAAAAGTTAGCCAGGCATGGTGGCGCATGCCTATAGTCCCAGCTACCCGGGAGGCTAAGGCAGGAGAATTGCTTGAACCAGGGAGGTGGAGGTTGCAGTGAGGGGAGATCACAGCACTGCCCTCCAGCCTGGGTCACAGAGTGAGACTCCATCTCAGCAAAAAATAACTGGGTGTGGTGGTGTGCACGTGTAGTCCCAGCTATGTGGGAGGATTGCTTGAGGCTAGGAGTTCAAGACTAGTCTGGGCAACCCAGCAAGATCCCATCTCTACCAAAAATTTAAAAATTAGCCAGGCATGGTGGCGTACCCATAGTCTTAGCTTCTCAGGAGGCTGAGGAGGGAGGATTACCTGAGCCCAGGAGGTTCGGGCTATAACGAGCCATTTTGCCACTGCACTCCAGCCTTGGCAACACAGTGTAAGACCCTGTCTCAAAAACAACAACAGAAACTCAAAAGAACCAAGAAATGACTGGACTGGAGGCCTGGCCTTCAGCTGCTGCCCTGCCCTGTGACCTGGTCACTTGGGATCCCCTGGGCCTAAACATAGAGCCTATTGTCCACCTCAAGAAAGCTCCCCACTGCCTGACCGGCAACTTGGGGTGGGCCTTGCAGCCCCCACCTGTCCTGGCCCCACAGTGCTGGTGCTGCATGGCCCCTGATGCTTGCTCTGAGCTCCTCAGCCTCCTGCAGAGTTCCCTGCACCTGACAGCAATGAATCAGGAAGGCAGGCGTGTCCTGGACCACAGAGCAGCCATGGCTGTGCAGCCACCAGGGGGCTCCATTTGTAACCCTGGATGTGGCTTTGGCCTCTTACTCAAAGGTAACCTTGGGGCTCCCAGACAAGAGACAGGGAGAGGACAGGGAGAGGGGAGCCCAGTCCCACCCTCCTACACATATCTTGCCCTATCCCAGAAAATGGGGGCAGCTGCACGTGCAAGGGACACAAGAACCTTTGGCCTTGTTATCAGACACTTTAAATGCAAACATGATTATCAGGTGCAATTTTCACAGCAGCAAGAAACTTGTGCCTACAGAAATAAGCACATTCCAGCAACCCACCTGTGCGGAAAGCCACACAGCGCCATTGTTTTTGGCACCCTCAGGTGACAGGGCACACGTGCCCCAGGGAAGGTCACAGTTGCCTGAACCTTTAAAACTCCCAGGACTTGTACTGCGTGTGCAAGATCCAGAGCCCAGCAGCACTGCCAGGGCCTTGAAGTGCTTCTTCAGAGACCTCTCTTCATAAAGTGCTTATTTTCTTAAAGCAGGGAAAGGAGGAAATTGACATCAAAGGATATTCTAGATTCTTGACAGCATTCTCATCATCTCTGAGGACATCACCAGCATCTCAGGTGAGCAGCCGGTGGAGTCCCTCTGGGTGACTGGCCGGTCTGGAACAGGGAGGGAGGCTTAGACTCTCGTGCTATAGCGGAGACTCTAAGCGTAGGGGCTCCAGCGTCCCTCCAGGTGGGTTTTCTGGTGGATGGAGTGACTCGGGGTCCTCTATGTGGTGCCAGCTGTTTGGCTTTCTGGATGTTGTAGGAAAGGCTTGCAGGGGTCTCCTCTGCCCATGTCCCCCTGACCTTGAGCTCCACCAGCCCCTGCCAATTGGGCTCCAGGAGGAGTGCTGTGGCAGGGGTGACATCTCACTTCTGCCATGTCTCTGCACCCTGTGCTCTCCCAGGATGAAGGCCATGAGGCTGCCGGGGGCACTGCTGGCACTGGCCACCCTGCTGCAGGGGGCTGTGTCCCTGAAGATCGCAGCCTTCAACATCCAGACATTTGGGGAGACCAAGATGTCCAATGCCACCCTTGTCAGCTACATTGTGCAGGTGAGGCCAGGGTGGCCTATCCCTGAAAGCAGGGGAGCCCCGGAGTCGGGGGCTGGTGGGCAGGGCCACAGAGTGGCAGGTGTGGGGCACTGAGCCCAAAGCCCAGCAGAACAGGGTCCTGGCTGCAGACCAGGGTCCTCCTCCCTGCTGTGTTGTCCATAGCTGGCAGCAGGAGCCTGGGCAGAAACACAAGGCTGTGGCTAAACCGAGGAATGCCACAAGCAGCAGCTGTGGCTCCCTTTGTGGCACTGTGGGGTCCCTGGGTGGCACCAGCCCTGCTGAGCATCACTGTTGCCCTGCCCCCAGATCCTGAGCCGCTATGACATTGCCCTGGTCCAGGAGGTCAGAGACAGTCACCTGACGGCCGTGGGGAAGCTGCTGGACAACCTCAATCAGTGGGTGACAGTGTCAGGCTCCTAGGGAGGTGACATGCCATCCAGGCACAGCTTTGCTTCAGTTGGGCCCCAAGGGTGGGGACCTGGGCAAAGCCCTGGTGTTGGCAGCCACAGAGGTCCTTCATGACCCTCTCATTGAGACCTTGTGTTTCTTCAATCCAGGGATGCACCAGACACCTATCACTACGTGGTCAGTGAGCCACTGGGACGGAACAACTATAAGGAGCGCTACCTGTTTGTGTACAGGTGGGTGGTCCAGAGCGTGAGGAAGCCCCTCCCTCACCTGGGGGGCCCCAGCAGAGCGGGTAAGTAGTTTGTCCTATGGGGCAAGAACCTGAGGTGGCAGAGCAGGGTCCAGGGTGGAGTCAAAACACCCCGAGGTCACAGATCCATGGGGCGACCAGGTGCCTGGCTCTCCCTCCCAGGTGCCTTTCATAGCCAGTGGACAGGCAGGTGGGCCCAGACCCCGCCCTCCTGTTGCCTAGGACGCCACAGCTGCCTCCTGGGAAGCTGGACTAGGGCAGTTCCAGCCTGGGGTCATCTCCTGCCTGGCCTTCCCTCAGGCCCGAGCTGGTGTCTGCAGTGGACAGCTACTACTACGATGACGGCTGCGAGCCCTGCGGGAACGACACCTTCAGCCGAGAGCCAGCCATCGTCAAGTTCTCAGCCCCGTTCACAGGCAAGTGCTGCCTGGGCCAGGGTGGAGCTCAGCATGGCGCTTACGGCCTCCACCCACTCCTAGGGCACCTGGAATGCCTGTGTCACTGCCCTCCCAGTCCCTGGGCCTGGGGTTTTCCATTCAAGTGGTTTGGAAAATAACCTCCCTTGGGGGGGACTGTCATGACGCATAGTTCCAGCTGACATCGGGACTGAACCTGCCCCCAGGGAATGTGGCTGCTGCAGTGTACCTCACATGACATGGTGTCTCCACAGAGGTCAGGGAGTTTGCCATTGTTCCCCTGCATGCTGCCCCAACGGACGCGGTAGCTGAGATTGATGCTCTCTATGACGTCTACCTGGATGTCCAAGAGAAGTGGGGCTTGGAGGTGAGGCCATACCAAGGGCAGTGGGTGCCAGTGGCCTCCGCTTGTCCCTAGGCCCACAGGCGGTGTTTCCTGGTAGGATATCATGTTGATGGGCGACTTCAATGCGGGCTGCAGCTATGTGAGACCCTGCCAGTGGTCATCCATTCGCCTTCGGACAAGCCCCATCTTCCAGTGGCTGATCCCCGACACCGCTGACACCACGGCTACATCCACGCACTGCGCCTACGACAGGTGAGCAGGGCATCTCGGGGCAGAGAGGGGCGCCTCCAGGAGCAGCTGTGACTTGTACATCTGGCTTCAGAGGCCTTTGGACACTCATCCAACTGAGCTTCAGTCGATCCGTTCAGGGAACATAATGAAAAGAGCCACGATTTTCAGTTTTGGGGTAAAGCACATTTGGGGATAAGAGGAGAGGCAGACATCCCAGCTGTCACGTGGTCTCCACTTGCTGGGCTGTGCGGTTGTGGACATCCACAGACCTGCACTGGCTCCAGCTACGGCAGGGGGAGGTCCCAGGGCTCTTGGCTTAGTTCCTGTGGGCACTAAGCCAGGCCAGCGGGTGAAAGGGGACCCTGCTCTCTCGTCCCAACACCCATCAGGATCGTTGTTGCAGGGACGCTGCTCCAAGATGCCGTTGTTCCCGACTCGGCTCTTCCCTTTAACTTCCAGGCTGCCTATGGCCTGAGTGACCAACTGGTACGTGTCCTCCCTGGCCCAGCCACATGGGGATAGGACACAGCCCACACCCTGTGCCCACTTCCTTGCAGGCCCAAGCCATCAGTGACCACTACCCAGTGGAGGTGATGCTGCAGTGAGCAGTTGAACTGGAGGAAGAGGACCCAGCACGCCGCAGGACCCACACAAAAAGCCCAACGCTCAGGTTAACAAATACCTTTTAATTTAGGTAAATAAAGCTCAAGGATGTGGGGCTGTCATCTGTGGTGTCAATCCTCCTTCCCCTGCCTGAGCAGAGGCCTCTGGTTGTCAGTGTCGCTCCAGGGCCTTGACAAGCAGCTCATTCAGGCGGCCTACCATGGCCCTGGGGTCATCAACGAGCCCAGCGGCTATCATGGCATTCTCATATATCTGAAAAACAAGGGTAGAAACCCACTGTGAGGTACCTTTTCCTTTTGAGATAGAGTCACCCATTTAATCTTTTTGTTCTATCACCCAGGCTGCAGTGTAACGGTGAGATCTCAGCTCACTGCAACCTCTGCCTCTCGGGTTCAAGGGATTCTCCTGCCTCAGCCTCCTGCGTAGCTTGGACTACAAGCATGTGGCACCATGCCCAGCTAATTGTTACATTTTTAGTAGAGACACGGTTTCACCATGTTGGCCAGGCTGATGTTGAACTCCCGACCTCAGGTGATCCACCCGCCTTGGCCTCCCAAAATGCTGGGATTACAGGCATGAGCCACCGCGCCCGGCCCATTTTTTCCTTTTTAAAGCAGGATTTTTGAGGAAACTGCTGTTCCACCCGGAAGGCAGGCCTGGGTCCCTGCAGTTATCCTAAGCTGTTGCACTCACCTGATCCACCAGCAGCTGAGCCAGGCCAGGTTCGCTCACCCGCAGCTGATTCAGCTTCTTGATGAGTGCATGCCTGCAACAGAGAACCCGACAGAAAAAGCAGCTCAGGACCATGCCCTGTGAGCCTCTCTTCATGTTCTGGAATGGTCCGAGTATTTAAAGAAGCACAGTAAGACTATCCAGTTTGTTTTTTTTCCCTATAGACTTACGTGACATTGTTTTTTAAAGGTATGTAAATGATTATTTATAGATGATATGATTACACATTCAGAAATCCCAAGAGAATCAGGAGTTTCAATATTAGAAAATGCTGTAAGCTGGCCAAGTAGCAAGATTAACATACACAAAAGGGACAAAAGAGCTTAGCATATGAAGACATGCCTTGGTTCCTAGATCAGTAATAATAAAAGAGAAGGGAGGAAGTCCCACGTGTTGAAACATAGTACAGAGCTCTTACAGTTTAGTTCTGGAAAGGGGGAAGGCAAACAGCTCCGTGTAATGAGGGAAGGAGAAGGAGCACTTAGATAACTGGTGAGCCATGCAGAAAACCATTTAGACCAAAATGAATTCCAGAGGGATCAAAGATTTAAAAGCATAATTCTAGGGAAGAAATGTTTTATAATCTGTCTTTCCAAGCAAAACTACAAACCCAGAAGCCAAAAACTGATACACTTATTTGACTACAAATTTTTCTGCATAGGAAAAAGCACCATATAGTGTTTAACCTTAACATGAAAACTATAATTTTGCACTTATGACAAGTCTGATAAAACTGAGGACTTGGGGGAAATGCAAATTTGTACAGTCTCTCCAGAGGACAGCTGGAGTTGAGAAAACCACATGTGGGTGATGTGCTCAGACTTAGCCACTCCATTTCCTAACTGCATCCCTTGAAACATTTTTTTCATATGGAGTCTTACTCTTTAGCTCAGGCTGGAGTAAAGTGGTGTGATCTCAGTGGCGTGACCTCCTCCTCCCACATTCAAGTGATTCTCCTGCCTCAACCTCCCAAGTAGCTGGGATTACAGGTACCCGCCACCACGCCCAGCTACTTTTTGTATTTTTAGTAGAGACGGGATTTCACCACGTTGGCCACACTGGTCTCCACTCCTGACCTCAGCCTCCCACATATATCCTCACATTTCTAGTCTATGTAGCTGGAAAAAAACTCCATTCTTCACATGCTAATGTGCAGGTCACCTAGTTACCCGAAGTGAGAAAAGCAAGGCAAGGACCCACTGCACAGCAAGTTACCCCTTGTGTAACACAGAAGAAACCCACTGGTGCACCTGTCCACAAGTGCACATAATCTCTGCAGAAATACGCAACTCTAATGCTGGCTGCACTGTGGACATGGATGGGAGGAAATTTCCCCCATAAACACTTTTGAATTCTGAGCTATGTGGATGTAACACGAAATTTTAAAGCAAATGCAAGTGAAGTTGGCTGGGCACAGTGGCTCTGGCCTGTAATCCCAGCACCTTGGGAGGCGGGAGGACCGCTTGAGCCCAGGAGGTTGAGGCTGCAGTGAGCTCTAATGGCGCCACAAGTGCACTCCAGCAAGACCCTGTCTCAAAAAAAAAAAAAAAAGTGAAGTCCTTTGGCAATAGACAGAAACGAGCACTTCTACACAGCGATCTTATAAAACTAGTTAAAGTGGCTGGTGTCCGCCTCACTGAGCTGCTCCAGCAGAGGCGCAGGCATTCTGTACACTGTCACTGCTGTGGGAAGGGGCTTACTCAGTAATGCCAGCCAGAAACCGAGTCAGCTTTTCTGCAGGAGTGCCATGGCTAGAAAATGGATCTCCCTCACCACCATTATAATTTTAAAAGTTAGGTTTATCAAAGATCAGATGACAACCCTAACAAAAATAAGCAATGGGGAAACGACTCCATGTTTAACAAATGGTGTTGGGGAAACTGGACCCCTTCCTGTCACCTTACACTAAAATTAACTTCAGATACATTAAACATTTAAACATAAAACCTAACACCATAAGAAAACGCAGGCAAAACCATCCAGGACATAGGCATAGGCAAAGACTTCATGACTAAAATACCTAAAGCAATGGCAACAAAAGCCAAGACAGACAAACGGGATCTAATTAAAATTCAGAGCTTCTGAACAGCAAAAGAAGCCATCATTAGAGCGAACCGGCAACCAACAAAATGGGAAAAAATTTTTGCAGTCTACCCATCTCACAAAGGGCTAATATCCAGAATCTACAAAGATACACAAGAAAAAAATAACCCCATTCAAAAGTGGGCAAAGGATATGAACACTTTTCCAAAGAGGACATATATGAGGCCAACAAACATATGAAAAAATGCTCATCATCACTGGTCATCAGAGTAATGCAAATCAAAACCACATTGAGATACCGCCTCAGAGGTGTCTGCGGTGCTGAGGTGGGTTCCTACAGCGAGTGTGATTTGGCTACAGAAATGAACTGGTGGCAGCCCCTCTGCATAGGCAACCCTCACATCAAGTGAGCAACGCGAGACCTCAGCACACACCAGGATCCACACACAAAGCTCAAAACAGGCAAAACTGAGCACATCCAGGACATGAACAGGTGGTAAAGCCATAAAGCAAAACAAAGACGTGGTCATAGGGTGGGTTGTGGCTAACCTCCCTGCGGACAGCAGGTTCCGTTTCACATGGGTGCAGCTTCAACTGAATACAGCTCCTTAAGAGTCACCCAAATGTCCACAGGCCTCACACACTTTTCTTCTGTGTCACATTCCACAATGAAAGAATACCCCACATAGGATTCTGGGGAATCCCCGCAGGCTGGAAGGGCCAGGAGCACAGCCTAACCTGGGGTTGATCTCCAGCGTGGGCTGCAGGAGCTGTGCTCGCTCCTCCTGGGTCTTGGCCAGCTGCTGCATGCGCAGGAAGTGCCGGGCGGCCCCCATCTCCAGCACGGTGACCATAGCAGGGTGGGTGTCCAGTCGGAAGGTCACCTGTGAGCGAAGCCAGGGGTTGAGGGTGATAGAGGTTCCCAAGGTGAGAGGGCCAGGAGCCGGCAGGATCTTAACCAGGGGTGAAGGTCACCCAGACCACAAGGTAGCAGTCAGGGAGGGTCCCAAGGACTCCCCTGAACCAGCGCTGCTCTGCCATCCTCCCCACGGCCCATTAACCAGTGGGCCCTGAGCTGCTGCCCCCAGGAGCTGCCCAAATTCATCCTCTGCTCCACGCCCGCCCACCCAGCATGAGGCCCACCCAGCATGAGGCCCCCTCCTGCATGTGGCCCCTCCTGCATGTGGCCCCTCCTGCATGTGGCCCCTCCTGCATGTGGCCCTGCATGAGACACTCATTTCTCTTCTTGCTCTAGGCTAGACCAGTGGTTTGGGCGGGCGGGGGGAGGGTCTTAGCTCTCTGAAGCGCAATCAGAACCCCAGACTAAGAACCCAAGTGAGAATGTGAGCTCCTGAGGGGTGGGGACCAGGATGGCTGGCTGGGGCTGCTGGTATTTCAGTTCTCAGTTCCCACCTACTCTGTAGCAGCACTGGGGAGGGGCTGGGTGATGGGATGATGATGCTGCCTTCCTGCCTCAGTGGCCCCCCACCAGGCAACACATATGCCAAGCAGGGACCCTAGCACGGTCTCCACCTGACACCACGGGCTTCTACTGCTGCTGGAAGGACACCCACCAGGTGAGGTACTGGGAGCCACCAGCTGGCCAGCCTGTTAGGAACACCGAGGGCCACAGTGGCGGAGTGGTGGTCCATCCCAGGAAAGCCTCACCTTCACGTTGGTGACACGCGACCCCAACACGTTTCTCATCCAGGCCATGAGCTCCTCCGTCTCCTCCTCTGACAGGCGCTCAGTAGCTGCAGAAGAGAACGCGAAAGTGAGCTCAGGCCTGCACCCCTACTCCCCAGCTTCTAGGAGGGGCACGCAGCATCCTGCCAGCTCTCCCACCTCCTCTCCCACCAGGATGGAGACAGAAGCTAGCAAGATGCTTTTCACCTAAAAGTAAAACCTCAAAGGATGCTTCGGGTTGCCTGACGCCCATACAACTTGGTTAGGGCTTTAAAAAGACAATTCAGTCGGGCATGGTGGCTCATGCCTATAATCCTCGCACTTTAGGAAGCCAAGGTGGGTGGATCGCTTGAGGTAAAGAGTTCAAGACCAGCCTGACCAACATAGTGAAACCCCGTTTCAACTAAAGACTTAAAAAATTAGCTGGGCGTGGTGGCACATGCCTGTAATCCCACCTACTCAGGAGGCTGAGGCAGGAGAATGGCTTGAACCCAGGAGGTGGAGGCTGCAGTGAGCTGACATCACACCACTGCACTCCAGCCTGGGCAACAAGAGCAAAACTGTCTCAAAAAAGAAAAAGATAATTCATGGCTTCCCAGGAAGCTGAGCCAGCTCCAG